TCCTCTTAATGCCAGTACCATGCTTTCTTTGATACCATCCGGGGCAATGGCAATTATATACATATGTGATTACTTACTTTCATATGTGGGCCTCCCATGAGATTGTAAGCACCACCAGGCAAGGTCTCTGCCTGCTTTGTTTGTAACGGAATGCTGAGAGTATGCCAGAATATTTGATAAAAGCGAAATATTTGATAAATATTAGACCCTGCATCTTGATTCTGGATTAAAACAAATAAGGTCACTCTGAGCGGAGAACTTTATGAATTATCCGAGCTTTTGGAAAGCTGCTCTGAAATCCTACTTGGAACAATTAAGTTCGGGCCTCTTTGATTATGGGAAAATAACCAGGCACAAAGCAGTGTTCGTGGGAACTTATTCCCACGAGATAGATGCTTCTGGTTAGATGGGGGGAGGGGGGGGGGCTGCGGGAGGGAAGGGAGAGCTTTCTTTTCTTCATCCAAAAGGGGGAAGGAACCTACTTCTTTAAAATAATGAGCCAACTTTTAGGCCATAATTATTTCTGTCTGATTTGAGAAAGATGAGCCAGCCTGCTCTCCCTCTGTTTTGCTGCCTAAGCAAATGAATCCACAACGACCACAAACATGGGTTTCAAGTATTGGAGAAGTCTAAACCACTAGCAGAACTCCCAGATAAAACCTCAGAAGCATGTTATCATTCGGCTAGAAGTTTGGAGACGGGCATCTCAATGTTTTCCCCTTTCCAGGGAACCATTCCACTCAGATGCCTGAAACATCTTTGGAGTTATTTGCACTTGAAGGAGGGGAGTTTTCACAACATCCGGGCTCCTGTTGAGCTTGGGTAAGTTGCTACGGTTGAAATCTCTAAGGACATCTTGATTATGCACAGAAAAATATTCTGCTGTGCAGGAGCCAACTTCCGAATGATGGTAGCTGCATGGCCCATCAGACGTTTGGGTGGATTATAGTCGCTCTTTACAACCCAGTCATTGGAAGGTGAGATTACTATAGTAGCGGCTTGATGAAACGCTTGACTTTTGGTCTCTCTAGTTTTGTCTCACGGGTTCTGCCATCAGATGCTCTTCCTAATGATTCCCTTTTACATGTTCAAAAATGCTTCAGTCAGTATAGGCTGGGCTCAAAACCTTTCTAGACCCTAACCACCTTCTAGTTTGCTGTCTAGGTTTACTTCCTATTACTTCTGACTCCTTCACCCAAACACCCCCCATAGACAGGCGTTGCTGTTAGGTGCCATCGAGGCGCTTCTATGCGCAACCAAGCGTTGCTTGGTCCTGGGTCATCCTCAAATCATGGCTGTTGGGACCCTCTGTTGCCATCACTCTCTTAGTCCATCTCGTTGACGGTCTTCCTAGTTTGGGGTGACTCTCTATCACATGGATGTTTTTCTCCAGAGAAGTCGTCCCTCCTGATAACATGACCAAAGCACTCATTTGCCACCCTCGTGTGCCAGAAGCATTCTGCTTGTACTTCTGTAATGACAGAGTTACTCATTTTTCTGGCAGTCCACGGTCCACGCTATCTTCTCCACCCACCCTATAGTTCAACGGCACAGTTCTTCTTCAGCCTTCCTTATTCACGCTCTGCTTTTGCAGGCAAAGAAAGGGACTGAAAATCACCCGGCTTGGGTCAGGCCCATCTTAGTCTTCCAGTCTTTCTCCACAGATTGGCCCAATGCAAACCATTATTTGACTTCTGGACCGATACTTCCGTGGACATTGGTTGTGGCTTCAAGGAAAACGAAACTTCCATCGTTTCTGCATGATTACGCTGCTGCTGACAGATCCTCTCCACTTTCAGCAGGCAAAGTTGTGTCGGCTGCACATCACTAGCTGTTACGAGTCTTCTTCCAATCCGGATGCAACAATATGCTTCAGATAGTCCAGTTTCTCTAATCAACCGCTCAGCACACAGATTGAGTAAGCAGGGTGAAAGGATACAACCCCGACACACACCTTTCCTGTTGTCAAGCCATACAGGATTTCCTGTGCTGTCCAGAGGGCTGCCTCTTGGTCTATGGCTGTGATCTATGGCTTGGTCTTGGTCTATGGTTCTGCACGAACACAATTAAGTGCTCAGGAATTCCCCTTCTTTGCAATGGAATCCATCACCCGTTATGATCCACCCTGTCCAATGCCTTTGCCTAGGCAATGAACTAGTAAATAGCTTTAAGGGTAGCCTCTGCTCCCAGCTGAGCTCTATCCGACACCAGCAAGGCTATTCTTACAGCTGGCTATTCTGATAACTATGGTCCCCTGGATCTGCTTACCTCTTCTCCTGCTTCTATGATGAGGCCACATCATTTCCATTCGGGTGCTGTCCACTATCTTTGCCTGGCCTTTCACGGACCCGTGTCTATCCCAACTCCCCATGAAGGCCCAGGCCACAACAGCCATCTCTGAGCTTCGAAAGGAATCATGGTCAGCCCCAAATCTTGCTGCTAATCATATGTTGCCCCTCTTGGGGGTTGCTTAGTATGGGTGTTGTAGTTATTATTTATATTGTCAAGGTATGCCAGGTATGCAAAAGCAATCCTTGGTGATTCTGTTGCACATTCCGTTTGGAAATTCAGGGGGTGGAGGTGTATGGAGTGAAGAAGCTGATATTAATTGTCCCTCGTATGATGGGAAAGGGAGATGGGGGGGAGGGGGCTGGATAATTCACATGCCTGGAATATCTCCTATGTGTCTGGCAAAATGTTAGGTGTTTTCACCAGTATTCTCTTGTATCATCCTCAAACAAGCCCACGAGGTCGATCTTGTCACCATTCCACTTTTATACATAGAGACTGAGGGAAGAAATTTGTTCATAGATGTATAAATGGTGGTAAGAGGTTGAGCCATGGCTTAAACTCCAGGCTGACCAGCTCCAGAGTGCTCACTTCTGGAGTTCCCAGAGAGGGGGTGGGGGGGTGACAAGATGGACAGCCATACTGGAGGCTGACTTTGTTGGTTGGGGGTATCTGGGAAGGCCCTGAATCCCTGGCTGGTGATGCCTAGCACACGACTCCTGAGATAGTTTAAGAGTAGAATGGTCTTCAGGGCTCTGGGTCTGCATCCTGGGCCCCACGTCTATAGGCTGGTGACTTCCACTGGAGAACCTGCTGGCTCCCAGCATGGTCACAAAGCCTACAGGCGGAGACTGCAGTGGCTCTGGGAGTCTTCCCGGACAGCCCCAGCACACAGACTGGCCTGCCAGCTGAGCCTGGGAAGACCAGCATCATCCAACAGACAAGCTGAACCAAGGGGCTGGCCTGTGTGTAGGAGGTGGAGAAGCGTCCTGCTCAGTGCACAGGGGAAGGGCTGTGGAAAACCACCTGTGTGTGAGGAGTTGTCCCATTCAGCCCAGGTGAGGATGGTGAGGAGGGCTGTTGACGTGCAAACCCTGAAGCCCTCCTACTTGGGGGTTCTAAGTCTAATGCGGTGCTTCTGAACCATAGCTGGATAGTGGAACTATGTGGAGAGATTTTTAAAATCTTAAAGACTAGGATGAGGCCAGACACCAGTGTTTCTAAGACATCCCAGGTGGTAGATCAGTGGTCTCCAGTGGCTGGAATCCCCACCCAATGCTGCGAAAGTTTGGAACTTCAGGAGGCCACTCTGAGTCATCCGCTCCAGCCTGTCTGGATGACAACTGAGGAGTCTACCCACGGCTTCCTGCCAGATGCAGGGCCCCGCCTCACCTCGTTCCTTAGTTTTCATTGTCCAGTAGAACCAGTGCCAGAGAAGGAGAAAAGCAGAATGCGAGCAAGGCAAGAGGGAGAAGGCAGACCTCCAGAGAGAGACGGAATCCCCGGGGAATTGACAGCAGCACCGGGGCAGAGAGGGCCCGGATGGGGCATCCAGCCGTTGTCGGGAAGCGCTCTACTCACGGAGTGGATGATGCCTTGCAGAGCCTGAAAGCCGTCGTTCACAGGAAACACGTGGTCCTTACTGTCTGCAATCCGGGCCAGCTGAGAACACACAGCACGGGGAGATAGGTCACGGCTGGGAGGGCTTTCAGCAGGCCAGGGGTGCAGGAGGCTCCCCAGATGTGAGGTCTGCAGTGAGCTCAGGGGTCTCACTGATAAGCCATCAGACCCAAGGAGCTCACCAGGGCTGCTCTGGAAGGAGCGTGCGCTTCAGCTCTGACACTGGTCAGAATACTTTTCTTGGAAGCAGAGGTCCAACTGCCCGGCCAGATGGAAATTTGGCCTGGGTTGGTGTCTTTATGTATTTGGAAGAAAGCCACTGGCTCATTTTTCTCTCCTAATCACCTGAACTAAACAGATTCAAGTTTTCCTTTGGAGCAATTCCAATAGATAAGTCCAGGACATCTTGATGGGAAAGGCCAAGGGACGGGGACTCTACCTCTCACCCTAACTGTCCCTAAGGGAAAGGAGCCTTGTCAATGGTGCGGCTGGTACTGCTTTGGGGAGCAGAGGGCTGAGAGAAGCAGGAGGCCAAGCTATGGGCATCTCTATTCCAGGCTCACATGTTCTGTGCTTTCCACAGTGATTGTCAGTGCTAGGGCATGGCTTGTTTTAAAAAAAAAATCATTTTATTGGGGGCTCGTATAACTCTTATCACAATCCATACATCAATTGAATCAGGCATGCTTGTACATATGTTGCCCTCAATCTTTTCTAGACATTTACTTTCTATGGAGCCCTTGGTATTAGCTCTTTTTCCCGCTCTCCCCTACCCTTATAGTATAGATTGCATATTGTTTTTATTTTCATCTCTCACACCGACCACTGTCTCCCTTCTCCCATGTTTTCTGTTGTTCTTCCCTCTGTAGAGGGGGGTATGGTTATGTGTCGATCATTGCGTTGGTTCCCCCTTTCTCCCTTCCTCTCCCCCTCTCCCCCTTATCCTTCTGGTATCACTGTTCCCACTCCTGTTCCTGGATTCTGTGTGTCGTGAGCTCCCATCCCTTTCTATACCTGTGTACATGTTCTGGTCTAGTCTGAATTGGGAAGCAGCACTGGGGTTATGGTAGTGGGGGTGGGGGGTGAGGAAACCTCAAGGAACCAGAGGAATATAGTGTATTTCCTCAGTGCTTTACTGCACCCTGGTGACTCATCCCTTCCCTGTGGCCCCTCTGGGGGGAGATTGTTCCACTGTCTACCGATGGTCTTTGGATCTCTGCTCTAGCCCCCCTCATTCTCAACAATTTTTTTGCTTGTTATGTGTCTGCTGATGCCTATCACCCGGTCCCTATGACTCCTCATGATCACACCGGCGGTGTGCTTCTTCCATATGGACTTGTTGCTTCACTGCTGAATGGCGGCTTGTGTAATTTCAAGCCTTTAAGATCCCAGATGCTATATCTTTTAATAGCTGGGCACCATCCGCCTTCTTCACCACATTTGCTTATGGGGTACACGTGCACACACAATTAACAATGGCAGAAGCAATGCATACTCATTGTGAAAACGTCACAAAACCGAGGAGAATTAAAATAATTTAGAAAACAAAACGCTTTGAAAAAACCCAAAGGTTACTCATAACGCCATCACCCATCTCTCCAAGTTTGCTTCCTTGCTTCCGTTGATACACAGCCCCTCCTGACTTTTATGTAAACGTACACAGGGTTTTAAAATGAGCTTATACAAGGCCCCCGCTGTCTTCTGACCCTCCCTTCTTCACTCAACAATGTATCGCAGGCGCGTTCTCATCACTACGGTAACAAAAGCACTATGAAGCACACTGAGGAATCTTTACTTGGGTGGATGTCCACTTATCTGAGTATTTAGGATGTTTTCTGACATTGCAAATGCCTGGCATTTTTTCATGAGAAGCAGGCATGTCATCGTGTAACTTACGAAAATCCAATCTGTCAGATTTAATGAAACCAACCACCCCACCGATCAACAGGGGTCTTCTGAGTCTGACACCTTGACAACTTAACATCTACCAAGAAAGACCTGCCTGGATCATCGAACTAAGGGATGCTGATGCCGCGGTGGTTGGCGCCTTGGGCAGCGACTCCGCATTGTCTCTGTCATGCACATGTGAGGAAAGCCATGCTCATACCTGTGTTTCATTGAAGTCTTTCACGCCCACACAGTAGACAATCGCACCAAGGTCTCGGGACCTGTTAGCCTGGGTCAAGAAAAGAAAGGGAAAGAGTTAGGAGGAGCCGCAGAGGCAACGGCTACTCCGCTCAGCTTTTCCGGTTTCACTTCTTGGATCCAGCGTTTATGGGCACCAGGATGCAAGCGCAGCTTCTGTTCTCAGGGACGGACTTCCTCCTCTGGGGCACATTCTAACACAAGGCCTGGGGGGGCACCAGGATGGGGGGCTGTGCAGCGGGAGGAGCTGAACAAGATTCACAGAAGTGCGGCCCTGACTGCGGGCTTTGAAAATTCAAGGGAGGGCAGGAGACTAGTGAGGAGAGACCACCAAAAAACCTCCCCCCAAACAAACTCACTGCCATAGAGTTAATGCTGACTCTTAGCGACCACTCAGGTAGACCTGCCCCTGTGAGTTTCTGAGACTGAAACACTTGCCGGAGTAGAAAGCCCTGCCTTTCTCCCAAGGAGCAGCTGGTAGCCTCGAACCATGGACTTTCAAGGTTGGCAGCTTAACATGTAACCCCTGTGCCACCAGAGCTCCCTTGGGGTCAAGGGAGGTATTTTAAATGTTGTTGGTAAACGAGGAGCCTTTCTGCTCCTCAAATGGATGTCTAGTGACCTGCCTTTTAGCTTTTGTTATTGTGCCAAAGCACCGCGCTCTTCAGAACCTGAAGGACGTGGGTCTGACCCCTGGCTTTGCTCTGGAAAGTGTCACGTGGGTTGAAGGGAATGTTTGCCAAGCTCTCCACCCTCGTCCCTGAACACCCAAGAGAGGTTCACAAGCAGCAGCACCCTTTGTGGAAAGGGCTTCGCATAGGACGCATGTCGGTTCTAACAGTGACCATCATACACTGACCATCGGGTCCATGATTGATTTTGACAGGAGTGCTGGCTCCTCTCCATTCTTTTGCACCATCAGTCAAAACCCAACCCCTCCAATGGTCTCCCTGGGTTTTCAAAACCAGATGGAGAATTTCTCTTTCCAATATTTTGTGCCTGTTTGGGAAGCTTTAGAAGTTTGCGGCTAAGAATTTTGGATGTTTGAGCAAAACAAGCCAAGTCTTCATATACTTTCTTTTGCTGAGAAACCTGGAATCAACACCCATGATTCTGTGCCTCAGAGCTGCGCTGCACCCAACGGGGTCCCCGAGGAGTTGTTCAGGGTATATGGCTCTGAACCCAGGCCAGATATCTTATATTAGATTCTCGAGTTCAACAGTACTTGAGCCAGCATTTCGCTCACTGGGGCCTTTCATTTGTATACCCAAGAGGGAAGCACTGTGTTTAACAAATGCTTTAAAGCACAGGCTTCTTGGCGGGTCAATTCTGGGCTTGTTATTTATACTTTTGGAGCCTGAATGGATGTTCCTCTGTCATTGTAGCTTAGAGTGTGATGGAATGAAATCATTTCTAGACAGTGCTTAGCTCTAAGAGCAGTACGTGGTAGCATTTTCAGTTTGAATTCTCACCATATACCTTTCCGTCCCAATGTCTCGGTTTTTAGATAATGCCCTGCCCCTTCCCGGTGACCTCAACACAGCGTCTTTAACTGTTGAGCAGTTTAAGTTGCTTGCGTTCAGCACACGCTGCTCCCTCAAGTGCAGACACTGTGGCAGCCATCCGCCAGCAACCGATGGCCCTTTCCATCCATCCATCCATCAGCAAGCGATGGCCCTTTCCATCCATCCATCCATCAGCAA